CCCACCAAACTGACACTCCACACTGACTGCCACTGGGAAACATGTAGACCTTGAGGTGATGGAACTGTTGTGCGTCTTAACTATGCTTGTAGAAATGTGAGTGATAAACTGTACAGGACCCAATGGGCAGACATATATGTACTCTCTCTCTCTCTCTCTCTATATATATATATATATTTGATAGTATTATATAGATACATAATATTTCAGAGGCTGTTTTATTCCTAGATATTTTATAGTTTCTGTTCCAGTATCAGGTTATTTATAGTTGCTTAATTACAGAAAGAAGAGGAAAGGCTATGAAGATGATGATTATGTAGCAAAGAAACCCAAACATGAAGAGGTATGTTAATGCCAAACGTGAAGTTAACATCATTTTTCTTAACACATTCTCGATTTATTGTTCCAGAGCATGACAATGATTTGAATTTTTTAGTTTTGCATATGTATTAAAGCAATTTTTCTTGCTTCTGTTTTAACCTGTTCTGAAGCAGTGTAATAGTTACTTGATGAAGGATCTTTCCTGTATTCATAGAACAGAGCAAGGAGTCATACACATGCCTAATTTTTGCTTTTTATTTTCCAAGAATTCTTCCTTTGACCCCTTTCTTTAAAATTATACCTAGCAACTCAGGTAAAATGGTAATCGGTGGCAGGTTGCAGCCATAATCTTTAGTGCTAATTGGAGGAGTCTAGTGAAACTGCCGTACAAGTGAAAGATCATTGCCCTGGTTTTCTGATCTCTTTAGTTCTGTTATCAGCAGAAGTAAAGGGAGACTGTTTTCCCAAAAGGGGCAGAGTGGTAGATTACACTGGCTATGCTTCTGTGTTTTCCTAACCATGTTTTTTTCTTTTTAGGAAGAATGGACTGATGACGACCTGGTAGACTCTCTCTAAAGTTTGAAGTTGATATATCAGTTTTAAGTAATTAGCAGAAATAGCAAATGTATCTGGCATTTAACGTTAAAAACTAACATATTACTTTTCTATTTTACTTTTATCCTTTCTGTTATTTCATTTTTATCCTTTCATGATAGCTGTATGTAAAACATCTTCAGAATAAGCCAGTGTGGCACCTAGTTGTCCCCGCTGCCAGATGAAAAAGTGACAAGGAAACATGCTTTGCTCCATAGACATCTTTACAAGTGGCCTTTCCAGTGCTGTCCTTATATATATGTAGCTGTTTTTGCATTACTGCTGAACTGTTTGGTGCAGTACAACTGTACTTGGTTCTGAAAGGTAATCACTCAGGGTACTGATTTTTGTTTTCACTTATTTACTGGAAAACATTTCTAGATGGATTTTTAAAAACTCAGATGTGTAATTGTGAGTTGTCTAAATAAAAATCTTTAGTTGATGTAATGAAATTATATATTGTTTTAGAATTAGCTTACTACATCACTTGTACATGAATTCATATAAATAGGTATTATAGTTACTAGGAATTTTACAAATGAAATATATACAAGGAATTTAATTCAAGTTGAAATGAATTAATATAAAAACCAAATACAGCACCAAGTTACTTAGCTGTGAACCAGGGCTGCCTCTGCTCCCTCTGTGACCTTGGTAAGTTAGCCTCTGTGTGCCAGGTTTCCCAAGTTCAAGAGGGGACAGTGATGATGCCCACTCCTCACAGAGTAGTTCAGAACAGAGCCTTCACCGGCTGATCAATATATACATCAGTGACATATTAACAGCCGGACACACACTACCTGTTACATACAGCTAGAACCAGACTCTGAATGTGTTTTATGAGGCATTTTTTTGTGGAAAACTGACTTGAAATTGTGGGAAACTCAGCTGCTCTTGATCTAATTAAATTGTGCAAATACACACACACACACACACACACACACACAC